ACAAACTGAGGCAACATAGTTTTATCCTTCACTACTGATTCTCAATCGGGATTACTTTCTGCGCCTTCCCTTCCAGGAGTAAGGGGACATTTGGCGATGTTGCAGACATTTGTGGTTCATCCCCAGAGGGGTGTTACTGGAATCTAGTGGATGGGAGCCAGGGACACCGCAAAAACATCGTACAGCCCTCAAGACTGCCACCCGTTCCCATACATACAACAACAACAAAAAATTCTGGCTCAAAATGTTAGTAGTGGCAAGGTTGAGAATCCCTAATGCAAACTGATGAGAAAAAGCAAAAATTCTCAATAGGAACACATCATAAATATCACTTTGTTACAGTAGGTCCTGGGGTGAGCTGATTGTGCATTTGGGTGGTGTCTACACTAGCCCTTCACAACATATTTATTATAAAACCCACTAGAGAATTCTGTCTTCCAGATTCAGCAGATGTGAGACAAATAACATCCTGTTCATTTGAAAAGAGCCGAGTCAGGGGATGCTCACCATGCACTGGAGAATTTTTCTTGACAAGTCTTCTCACTCTTGTTTTTGGTAAAGGATCATTCCCGGGACATTTGTCAAACCTACCTTATCTCCTGCAGTATCATCTTTTTTTTGTTTGGTGTGTGCGTGTATGTGTGTGTGTGTGTGTGTGTGTGTGTGTGTGTGTGTATGTGTTTAATTCCAGGCAGACCATGCCCAGCATAATAGTCTTGGACAGACATTCTTCCTGTCTGGGGTATATTCTTCCTGTCTAGGGTATTTTAGTTGCTGCTCTAAAATTTGTAAAAATGTCCTTTCTCTGAAAAGATATTCTTGAAAGTCAGTAAACATCAGAGAATTAAAAAAAAAAAAGGCTGGTCAGTGACTTTTAAATATATGGTATTTCATTGTGAGAATAGACATGATAAGACAACCCCAAAGAGAATGAGCTCAGAAAGTGCCCTGGACATTTCACGTGTGGTCTGTTGTCTCAAGATTATCTTTGAGGGAAAAAAAAGAAAACTGAACAATATATTGGTCATAAAAATAAACAGTGGCCCATCCCAGAAAGGAAATTAGGAAATGGGCCAAAAACAATGTTTAGCTAACTTTATGCTCCCCTCTGTTCTCATTTTGTTTTATTTATTTGGGGCTGAGCAGGGACACTTGGAGTCACTTGGTAGCAGTGATATCTACCTACACTAGTTTGGCCGCAGAAACGAGATCAAGTAGGAATGCTTTTTGGGAAAGAATCTGGATAAAAATGGGTAGAGCTAATAAACATTTAACACAATTTTTATGTGCTCAACTTTTAAAAATATTGACAAAAGCTGAAATTTTAGAAAATCTGTGACCAGTGTATCCTGAATTTTCTGAAGCAGGTGGGCCAGTTTCTATCATGTCAATGTGCAGTTTGTCAGTGTGCAATAAATGTTTAGTTTTACTGTCCCAGTTTCCAAATATTTCATTTGCATTTTCTCCCAAGGTGTGGGGTTATTTCCCATAGGGGAGAGGTATTCACTGGAGAAATTTCAGAGAACGTGGATCACTTCTCGTTTTGCTGTATCTACCAGAAAAAGATCTTTTATCAAAAACCAAAACCTATTTCCTTTTGCCTTTGGTTATACTATTTCCTCTTCTTGGAATATTGTTCCCAAGTCATCTGCTCCCTAGTCAGCACCACTGCTTGCCCACCAGCTCCTCTTCTCCAATCTAGTGAACTTCTATCCATCCTTCAGAACCCTTTTCAAATCACTTTCCCCAACTTTTTGGGAAGAAGATATTATTCTGTCCTTTATCCTATCGTAGGATCTCCCACGTGTTCTACTGTATCACCTTTTGCCTACTTATTCTAGTAGATTCTTGAATACATGTAGTCCATGCTACTGCGATCTCTTTCAACTTGGTCTGTCCAAAGAGTGGTACAGGGTAAGCTTCAAAGTGGCAGTCAGCATGTAACTTTCAAATAAATGAGGAGAGAAGGAGGTGATGGAAAGGTGGAGAGAGGTAATTGAAACAGGAAATAATTCCCTTTTCTAACATCCTTCCCCCACTAATTTATAAAGACCCTTTCTAGATACACCATGTCTCTGTATATGTGGAATTTGGTTTCTGATCATTCCACTGTGTCCCACTGGTATCAAATATATTGTAACAAATGTAATGGAGCTGGACAATATCATTATTTATTTGTAATTTTATTGCACTATGGTTAAAATTTATAATATGGTGTCAAGGCTTTTGTATATGTTAAGGCTTGATCTGTAGTCAGCCTATGTAAATTTTCTAGGTGTTTATGAAAAGAGTGCTGGGTATGAAGTCTCTTTCCTACTCAATATATTAACCTTATATTTATTACTTTGGTGAACGACATTAAAATCATTATTATTATGGACTTGTCAATTTCCCTTTGCAGTCCTTTTGATTTCTTCTTTTTGTTTTTTGAGACAACTTGTCCTATACATAAAAGCTTAAAGTTGCTATATCTTCCTGGTAAAAAATAAATTTCTAATTATTATGTTGTGATCGCCTTTATCAATAATAATGCAAATATACATATTTGACCTATTCATCTATTCTCTTGGCTAGCATTTGCTAAATATGTATTTTTACTTGAAATGTTTTTCTCACATTGTTTTAAATGGTTTTTGTAAAAATTTTTAAAATGACTTAAAAAATCTGTTTTCTGTGAGTTAAAAATATTTACAGAGCCATAAGGTTTTCTTTTTTTTTTCCTCATTGAGTTTATTGGTACATTTTAGGTATACAGTACAGTTACATTCATCATTGGGATCCTGTACCTTTACATGACAGGTCTTGGTTCTCATTTTTTCCCCTTGTCCCTGCCCTCCCTTCACCCCTCCTCCCTCCCCCTTTACAAACACTTCATTTCCAGTTTTTCATTTTCTCATATTTTTTCTTTTCCCTTATTAGCTTTCCCCTACCCTTTCCACTTTCCCTATACCTTTAGCCCTTTTCTTCCTATTTCACATTGTCAGTTATATCATTAGGATCTTATTTACTCTGCATTTTTAATTGCTTCATTTTTCTCCTTTCCTAATTTTTACTGGTTTGCTCATATCTATTTCTATTTTAAGTTGTATTTTATATATTATTTTATTGTGTAGTTTTATTTGTTTGTTTGTTTGTTTTCTGGTTTTTTGAGACAGGGTCTCACTGTGTAGTTGAGACTGACCTGGAACTCACTATGTAGCCCAATCTGGTCTTGAACTCACAGCAATCCTCCTGCCTCAGCCTCCTGAGTGCTGGGATTACAGGCGTGCACCACCATGCCTGTTTACATTATTCTATTGTATTTAATAGATCTTTCAATTTCAATAGTATAGTTCTAATCAAATTTACTGCCAAGATTAACTAGCAACTTTAAAGGATTTCTACTAAAAATATTAATGATGGCTGAATTTAGAAAATGTTCAATTTTTAATAAGGCATTCTTTGAGAATCTTTTGTACCAAGTCTGATCTCAGTGGGCCTCTAGATGAATCCTGACAGCCCCTGTGAGAATGCAAGTGCTCCTGGGATGGTTTGTCTGCATTCCTTCTAAGAGAGCATTGTCATGTGTTGGGGCTATACCCTCTCAGAACATTTATCTATTTATGTAAAATACAAATTTGAGAGGTTTATTTTCATTATTTTTGAAACAGTATAAATTTAGTTTTATCACACAGTTTTAACCATGGGAACATAGTTATCAGCTGCTCTTTAATTGATGATCTTACATTCCTTCTCTACCTTTGCTCACCTGTGATTTCCATTACAAGGGATCTGGCTCTGCCTTGTTTGCCATGTTTTGTCTTTCCCATTCCACCTAGTCTGTAGGAATGAGGAAGTCAAAGTGATGCTACTTTTTCTTAAGTAGAGCTATAATGAGAATTTTCTCAAATCGACCGTATTTTTCATCTTGATTTTATTGTTACAAAGTTGTAGATAGGCCTCCCAATCTGTTTATAATACATTATTTCAATTTCTTTCATTAATCAAGGTTTAAAGCTTTGAAAGACTACTTTAGATAATATCTTAATTTTATAAAACTTTAAAAACTGTTTCCCTTGATTTTTATGTCCCCTGTGGACTGTCTACAGCATTTTTTTTTTTTTTTTTTTGCCTACCATGGTTACATTTACTTGCAAAAGAATTCCCCCACCTCTGAATCTTTAAATTTCTTAGTACCAGAGAAAAACTATATTTATTTTGTTTCTCACTCATGACTTGACACATGATTTTGTCACAGGAGGGTCTGTATCTCAATAACCAAGATAAGGCCATCCTTCCTTGTGATAATTGGAACATTTTAACAAATGTCTGGAGGCACCAACCAATGAGACCAGCCCTCCAACCCACCCCGAGGGACCTTCAGCTTATTCCCCCCAAAGCAAACCCAGGGTCTACTGAATACAGATCTGATCTCTAGGGAAGCAAGCTCATTGGTAGCCCACAATCTCAACTAAGTCCTTTATTTAAGTCCCTTTTTGGGGAAGTGGCTCAAAGCCTTGGGACCTTTTAATTTTAATTTTAACAATCATGTCTTACTTATACCTGCCTTGATATTCCATAGATAGATGGAGCAACTTTATTAAAACACACGCGCGCACACACACACACACACACACACACACACAGAGTAATTGAGTTCTGCCTTTCAGGACTTGCAGAGCTAAATGTAGGTTGTAACAATTGGCTCAGACTGTCTTGGGTTTGTGCACACTACCCTGTGTGTGGCGTGAGAGCCTCATTCCTTCACTGATGGAATGTCCCAGTAATCTTACTGTTTCTCCGTTTTCCTTACTGATTGGGGCCTGGTGGGTCAGTGGAGGATTATAAAGATCAAAGCACATCTCTGTTTGTTCCAGATCTGTTGAGAACTCTGCTTTACTGGCAGGCAAGCACCCAGTGAGGGGCCACTCCTGCTAAGGGCCTTGTTTCTTAACTCCATTGATGCGTCTCATGTTCAACCACCTTTGTTTTCTGACACTTTGCTTCTTTCTGGAGCACAGGTCCACACGTTCCGAGGCCCACACTGGTGTGAATACTGTGCCAATTTCATGTGGGGACTCATCGCACAAGGAGTCCGGTGCTCAGGTAGACACAAAACTTTCCTTCTCCTTTTCCAATTATATAAAGTGCTCTGCTGTGTTGAGCTAGGGTGCATCTCTCCAGAAATGATGTTTATTCCCAGATGAATGTGAAAGTCCAGGTGTCTCATGGATCCAAGGCTCCTCTGCTTCACAGGAAGTCTAACTATTTGCAACAATGAAAAGGAGTATTTCATGTTTATGAAAGGAAATATATTTAAAAATAAACATCCAAGTATATTTTCTTAGGACCTACCTGTCTCCCCAGAGGCAGTAGTCCTTAAAAGAGAAAAAAAAATCAATTCTAGTGGAATTCCATAAATAGCCACACTTCTTTCCCATTCCACCTTACTACAAAAGGCAAGACATTAAAAATAATAATAATCCTAGTGAGCATCAGGCTAAACTCTTTCTATTTATCATACTATCCAGCCTCACCCACAGACCTTAGGAAAGATGCAATTATTTCCCATTAAATAAAAAAGGAGATGGAGTCTTAGAGATGATTGTTAATTCCTTTGGCCACATAGCAAGTAGCAGCTGGACTCTAAAGCCCACTTGCAGGATTTTTCTGCTATTGTATCAGCAGTGAAACCACACACCCTACATTGCTGTCACTTATTTTTAAACGCTGAGTGTCGTCCCACCTAGAATAGGACACGTAATACAGTAACAGCATACAGTACATCTTCTTAAGTATACTAAACAAAATGGCAAAGTGTTGCCAAATTAATATACAAACTGGACTTCCTAGTTTTTTTTTGTTTGTTTGTTTTTTGTTTTTTCTGGCAAGCAGTTGTGCTGGAAGCAAGAACAGCCTCCTCTGATATGATCAGGTTTCTGCCAACTCCTTGATTAATTTCCTCCCTGCTAGAGTATGATTTTGTGGGGTGCGGTACTGGGGATTGAACTTGGGTCCTTGAGCTTGCAAGGCAGGCCACCGATAGAGTATGATTTTTAGAAATAATTCATATGAAGCATTTGAAATAAAATCAGTGAATGTGAGTTTACGTTTGGATGATCTTCATTCCCATTTCGCCTGTTTTGGATCACAGGATTGTAAAACCTCAGTCCTCTCTGCTTACCAGAAACTTTGTTAGCTCAATTGTGAATCAACGATTCTTATGGGTGCTGGATCATTCTACTTCCCCTTCCCAGGCCTCTGAGGCAGGTAGCAAACCCATTTGACAGGCAGCCTCTTCACAAGTGTCTAAGATAACCCAATTAATACAAAAAGACTGATTTGCTAAGAGTCATAAAGTATCTCACAGCTCAACCGCCGTGCACTGTGGTTGTGTATCTGAATTTCCCAGTGGTCATCAGTTCAACCTGTCCAGATTATACCTACCAAAAGTATCCCACATCGCTACTATAACCCAGTTTCAGCAGGAAATTGGTCCAAAGTCAATATTATGAGAACAAAATTCTGGACTTCACATCAGCTGTGATCAGCAGCTTTCTCTGGGATGAAAAGGTTTTTGGATTTTTTTTTTCCTGTTTTTAAAAATAAAACACATTAAAGCCTTTTGTTGTTCGTTCTCTCCAACAACTACTTTTTGAGCTTATATTTCCTGCAAAAAGCAGGAAGGCTGAAAGCTGATCATCAAAGGTTAAGAGGAGACATCGTTGCTCTCAGTTCTCCAGATTTTAAATTTTCTCAATGATCTAGACTTTAGTTACGGCATGTGGAGTGCTAGTCATTTGTAAAAAGTAAATATTTTATGCTTGTTATAAAACATCTTAATTTTAATAAAATACCAATATTAAATCTATGTAGATAAACCCATTGTTGCTTCAGATCTTAAAATAACATTTTAAAGAAAATTAAAAATAGAATTATCCTATGATCCAGGAATTCATATATATATATATATATATATCCAAAAGATCTGAAAGTAGAATTCCAATAGAAACTTGCACATCCCTGTTCTTCCTCCAGCGTTAATCATAATGTCTGAAAATTAGAAGGATCCCACTGGTAGATGAATGGATAAACGAACATGATGTAGACATACGATGGAACGTTATTCAGCCTTAAAATGGAAGGAAATTCAAGGACTCCTAGACCGTGCAGACACAGGTGAAAGAAATGTATCTGTTGTAATCAAGTAGAACCTCTTACCTGTGAGTCCAGAATATATCTAAACATATAAAAGTTTTGAAAAAGAAATCCTGACACATGGTACAATGTGGATGAGCCTCGAGGCTCTTTTTACTGAGGGAAATAAGCCAGTCACAAAACTATAGTACAGCACGGTCCACTCCTATGAGAGACACAGAGAAGTTTAATCCATAGAGTCAGGAAGCAGAGTGGTGGCTGCCATTCTGTGGGGAAGGTAATATTCAGTGAGTAGAGAGTTCCAGGTTTGCAAGATGAAGAAACCCCTGGAGACAGATAGTGGTGACGACTGTACATTAATGTTAATGAACACTTAAAAATAGCTAAACTAGTAAATTTTGATATGTATATCTACCATAAGTTAACAAAAAATGTTAAATGAAGATTATAGGATGCAGTTTAAAATTACCAGTGAAGTGACTTAAGAATATCCAGGCAGGCCTGTTTATATATTTTGGCACCAAATGTGCTATTTGTTTTATGTAACTTAACGCTTTATGATAGTACTTCTCAGATTTCATATATTGTGCCAAGCACTTTCTATTAATTTGATTCTCATGCTCACCCTACAAGGTAGGTGCTGTTAAGATCCCCACTTTATAAAAGAGGATCCAAAGAAACCAGCCAGCTCTATTTAGTACAGTTAGCCAAAATTTACACTCACTAAGTAGATCTATCAAAATATTTTTTAATTCTACTTGAGCTTTGTAGAATTACTTGTGTTGACAAAGCTAAAACAAATCAAAACTGTTTTTTTCTTTGGATGAAGTATAAAAAGAATTCAGCCAGGAAATATTACCTGAAAATCATCTAGAAATAACCACTGATAATTTTTACAGAAGCAAGATCCTCTCAAACCCCTGGTATGATCAGAGCTTTTTTGTAAAGCAGCTGATGATAATATTCATTATTGTGTGTGTAAAATACAGAAAAAGTACAAAATAAAATTATAGCTAGGAAAGATAGTATTGGAAGACACTGAGTAGAAGCACATCACCTTTGAATACCTTCAACATTAAATTTTTATTTTCCATAATGTAGACTGTGTCTTTCTATTAGAGAATCCTGTAAATGCCTACCAACTGCTAACAAGGCTTTTAATTTCTTCACTGAACTTAAAAGCAACTTTTCAGCTTTGGATATTGATATGAGCTTTATAAATAATAACTCTTAATCATCACATTAATCGGCATTGTTATAAGTTATAAACTCTCAGGCACTCCCACTGGTGTACAATTAGACCTTAATTCTACCCACAGATACCAAAATAAGGCATGGACAAGGTAAAATGTTCTCCACAGCTGGTCCAGCAAGGAAGAAGGGATTGAGAACTGTGAGCGACTCTCCAGGAAAGGCAGAGGGTGCCAGGGCTCAGCGCCAGGCTTCCTCAAAGCAAGGGCTGGAGATTCCTGCGGAGAGAGTAACCACATCTTCCACAGAGGAGCATCAAAAACTTAAGGAAACAAGCTAACATACATCCTAGAGCCCTGTATGAGCTAGGACTAGCTCTGAGAGCCAAATCCAAGAGCCCAAATCTGAAAATGAAAATATACACACAATTTGAGTGTTTAAACTATCTCAACAAAATGTCTTGTTCTTATGGTCAAGCAAAAGAGAAACATTAATGAGAAAAATGCAATTCTCTATAGGTTTAATGAGTAAAGTGAATCTCATACTCATCTTCTCGTGGAATGTATCACTTTGAAATGGCGTGGATTTTCTTTAGGTGTTGTTACTTTTATTTCCGGCAATATATAACTTGTGTTGGACTTGACAAAAGAACTGGGGAAGGCTAATGTGACCTCTCTGCTTCCAGACTGTGGGTTGAATGTACACAAGCAGTGTTCCAAGCATGTTCCCAATGACTGCCAGCCTGATCTCAAGAGGATCAAGAAGGTGTACTGCTGTGACCTCACCACGCTCGTGAAAGCTCACAACACTCAGAGGCCCATGGTGGTTGACATATGTATTCGGGAAATTGAAGCAAGAGGTTTGGAAAATATTCCCTACTACGTACGGTATTACAGTGATTTTATTTTGTGGTTTATATTGATGGTTGCAAAAAAAAAAAAAAACTCAAAACAAAACTGGATCACACCACTACTCTTGATGGGAAAAATGACCTGTATCCATGCAAAAACACACAAAGAGATAAACTAAATCCTGCCGACTATATCAGTTTTCATTTTCTATATAAACCATACATGATGTACTCAACTAATGTTTATGGAGTAATTAGCTGTGTGCCAGACACTAGGCATATAAAGTCACCATTCTCAACTTAAGGAAATTCATACTGTAGTTTGGAAACCAGAGAGCAAGCAAATATACATTGTGGATGCACATATCCAAACATCATAAAATCACAAAGGAAGATAATTCATCTTAGTTGAGGACAATTAAGAAAAGGTTAAGACAGGGCAAGGTTTGAAATGGTTTTAAAATGTGCTTCTATTAAGTAATAAAAAATTATTGATCAACACATGTCTTCTACCATAGAAAAGTTCATCTCTAATATTGTTCTCTTTATTTCAAAGAGAACAGTTAAAGGATTATAAAGCTCAACACAATGAAAAATCCAGGTGGTAAGGAAGATAGAAACATTTCCCCCCTCCAAAAAAAGGTTCTTTGTATTATGCTAGAATTACCTTTTCTTTATTTTTCTTTAATTTGGCAATCCTTCAGCATCATATGGATTCACTGGGAAGAACTTGGATTGCAGGATGTAACTTGCATAATTGAGCCGTAATTATTTTATATTCTTCTATACTTTGTATCCATTATTGGTCCAAATTGGCATAATATGTCCTACGGGTAACTACTCGTTGACCACCTATGTTATTTTTTCCAAAACAAAGCAAAACAGGATGTTACAGTATATCTCAAGCCTTTTCAAGATAGGAGATTATTTTATCTGCAGCATGAAAGTGATGGTGATTCTTCTCCCTGAGGACTCACTCATTTAATCTCCCATGGTAAGAAATGCCTCCCGTAGTGAAAAGAGAGGACCTTGATGGATGCTTTGGGATCTGGTGAAGGAACTGATAGAAAGGCTGACTAGATAAGAAGAGAGGAGAGGTGTCCCAACTGTGGATGAAGGACTGAGACAAGTGGCCCTGGAGCTAGCTCTTTGGAAGACTCTGCAGTTCGGGGGCACAGCCAAGGACAGGAACTGTGCTGCTCTGGTGAAGACAGAATAGCACAACTCCTATGAAATAGATAACATAGCATGACTCAGAAATTATGCCAAGGGGATCAAAGCAAAGGGATTGGAGCTACAGATAGTAGAGGACCAAGCCTGCAAGTAGTAACAACCTAGTAACAGGCTAGGAAAAGGTCACCTGACCCATCTTCTGCTGCGTGACACCACTGCCAACATGGCCTTGAGCAAGTTCTTACTCTGCTTAAATATCTGCTTCCTCATCTGTAGAGTAGAAGCAATTGTACCTCAGAGAGTGGTCATGAGGATTAAAATAAATTGACATGTAAAAATGACCTAGCACAGTGCCAAATATACAGGGCTTGACCTGTTATTTCTTTTTAACTTTTCTTGGAATAACCAACTCCCCTAACTCCACCTCCAAACCTGTCTAAATCTGTATCCAATAATCTATAGCCAATAAGTGTCATTGTTATTCCAGAGACCCTGAACAATAGTGTCTTTTAATAAGATAGACATCTTCAATAGATAGAGATCTTTTTATCTCCTGTGACAATCCAGGTAGTCAGAAGTAGTTCAGGGTTAGTGAGCAGTTACCCAATGCCAGGAGCACAGGCCCTGCAACTTGTTCTTTGTCATGCTTGAGGGCTGCCCTCATCTGCATGACTGTCATCATCCTATCTGCACTGCAACCAACAAGAACAAAGTGCACGCTCTTCCCTTCAAGGCCACAGCCCAGAGACTGTACCCACTGCTTCTGTTCTCTGCATTGGCCAGAACTGAATGGCTACTGCAATACATGGTTTTCACAGGCAAAGGTCCCATTAAAACACAGGAACGGAGAACAAATCCTGGAAGGAGAGATGGCAGATTCTGTTACTCTAACAAACTCCAACCCTTCCCCGGTGACTTCCTTCACAGACTTGTTCCTAAACAAGACTTCCCCAGATACTCTCTTCTATCAACAAGCAGAGTTAGTTGCCCATTTCCATCTGCTCCCATAACTACATTGGCCACGCCTCTAGCAGTCTATCATCCCACTTTACAGAGAGGAGCCTTCACGCAGCACTATCTAGAAAAGGTGACACCCAAGTTGCATCTTGTGGGCTTCCTTCAGTTGATCATCGGTGGCTACCTGTACAACTGATCTGCAGACATAGCAGCTGATAACAACTAAGAATGCCTGTCATGGTCACAGGACGGATGAGGGACAGTGTCTGACATGTATTTGTTGTCTCTGATGCAAACTCATGCAAAGTCTTGCAGACAGCAGATAGTATACAGTCAATAAATATTTGCCAAATTAAAAATAAAAACAGGAATATGTCAGTTACCAAGAGTTTGACATATTCTACTACAGGGCAACATAAACTACTTATTTTTGCTATAGCTACAGTTCTTATAGCAGCTAGTTTTTGACATACAAAGTCTGAAACCTGGTCCTGCATTCCTTCTGATATTTTTCATTGTGTTTGTGTGTGTGTGTGTGTGCATGTGACAGACAGAGAGAGTAAAGTGATAAGTTTAGAACATATCCTGACAAATCAATAAGCTTGAAAAGCAGAAACTAAGTCCTTTTTGGCCTTAATATATAATGACCAAGTTTATAAAACCAATAAATAGAATTTTATTTTTCTACATGTTTGTATGATCAGTTACCCAAAGGCACAGCAATGAAGTCATTCATACTGAGTTATTCAGCATAAGGTCTTATTTATTGTTACTCCTCAAAAGCTATAAAATTTAGATTTTTCTAGCATATTACACACATTTGCCTAGCACAGTACCTCCTACAATAGACAACATGGCTTAAGAAGATGCTTGGAAGAAGGGAAAGGCGCTGCCCAGCAGTGAAATGGTTACCCAGAGATCTGAACGAAAGAAGTAGGGGACTGTGGTCAATGAGAATCTTAAGTATCAGGTTGTTTAGCAAAGCCAGACCAGAAGAAGACCAGGTCTCATTGAGATCTCCACTCCTAACGAACAAATGAAGACAGACTCATGTGGAAACTGGAACTGACAAGTCCAAGTTCTGACGCAACAATGTGTGATATATAAGATCACTAATGATGTTTTCTTGTTTCCTGATTGCGCATAGTACAATGTGAAATTGGAGTCTTTTATTAGATGTCTCAGGAAGCTGAAGTTGAAGTCTCTCCCTCTGTCTCCCTCCCTCCCTCTGCCCCACAGGATTGAAGTCAGAAGGCCTGTATAGAGTCTCAGGGTTCACAGAACACATTGAAGATGTCAAGATGGCATTTGATAGAGGTAAGCATGTGCCTCTTGAATGCAATCTGACTTATTCTCAGCAGCCTTCATTCAGAGTGAAAACAGGGTGTCAGGACTACCACCGAGAGTTGTTTTTCAGAAAGCTGAGGAATGATGCTTTAAAAGATCTCTCCCTTCTGCCTCTGGTGGAAGTGTTTCCTTACATGTTGCAGACAGGTAACCACATGAGGAAATCGGTTTAAATGCTATGTGAGTGGGCAGCCAGTCCACCTGGTACCAGAGCACCCTTCTGCATCCCCATGTCAGGATTCCGCTGGTGTCTCTTCTCAAACCTCCAAATCAGGGAGCGGAGGATGGGTGAGTGAGCGCTCACACTGAAGGGAGGGGAAGCCAGTAGAGTTTAGCAGGCAACTCCTTTGCTCTTTGTGATGGTGACTCACAGTGTCTAGTGCACATTATCTCCTAGGGCAGTGATTAACCAAACAGAAGAACTTGTCCAGAATACAGATCACTGTCCTCAGGACTCATTCAGAAAGCAGCACTAGCCTAAGAATCTGTATTTCCAATGAACAGTCCAAATTATTCTGATGCCCTGTCTTCCTGGATGGAGCTTCCCTGGATAACATGGTATACAGGGTCTTGAATGATGCAGCCTGCCTGTCTGATCAGCTCCTGTCCAGTTGCTCTTCTCTATTGTTTTTTATACTCCAATGCTCCTGAAATACACCTTACCTATTGTTACAAAGAAGCACTTTGGCTCACATTGTCCTGTCAATCTGGAATGTGTACCTCTCTGCCTGGCCAACAAATTTATATCAAGAGTTGAGTGTTTTGTCTTTCATGAGACTTCTCTGATCACCCCAAGCTGTTTCATTGGCCCATGCCCCTCTGTGTTTTTCATCTGTTTACAGCACAGCATCCCATTTCTTTGTAATTGTTAAGTTGCATATCTTAATCCCGATCTAATTAGAACTAATCAAAGGGGTATCTCTTTTCTTCTTTGATTTACAAAGGCTTAACGATACTTGGCATATCGTAGATTCTCAATAAATATTTGCTAAATATGTAAATAAGGGGATCAATATGACATTTCTGCTTCACTTTTACTCTTTTCTGTACATCTACAGTTTTTAAATCTTCATAACCAAATTTGCCAAGGCATTTGTTCTTTTAATTCTCCACACAAAAGATATTGAAACATTTTTCTTATCCAAAACTTTTTAAAAACTCATAGTCTATGATAGTTAAAATGGATTGGTATTTACTAATGGTAAACTAAAAAATCAAGAATGTCTTGAGATTTATTGTAAAAAGTAGTAAGAGATAACCTAACTGTACATGAGGCAAGTTTGAAGTTCACCATATCGAAGCCCTCCTGGCCAGGAGAGGAAGATTCAAGTTCAAAAACAACCTCAGTGAGTGTAAAAAAGATAGTAGAAACTGAAAGTCTTCAATAATTATTTTCTTCATGTGACCTTCAAATCCAAGTCCAAAGAATATTGATGGAGATATAGTAGATCTTTGATGGTTCCTTTAAATTTTCATATAAAGTTGTTATTCTATTATGACTCTTCATGTCTGCAGTATGAATTACTGTGCCAAATTTCTATCTGGGAAATTATCAGGGGCTGGGAACCAAAGAACTATTTCCTGTCTGTTCCGTTGCCTTTGTTCCTGCATGTACTCTCAGACCCTACCCAACTCTCACCAAACTCCTGTTACTTTCTGCACCTCAGTGTTATTAGAAGCCAAAAAAGAATTAGCTGAAGCTTGTCAGGTAGCAATCACCATTGGATTTTTCCCCTTTCTGTGCAAGCTTCAACCTGGTGAAAGAAGGTCCTAATTAGAACTTGGATCATTGACTGTTTTTCAGATGGGGAAAAGGCAGATATATCTGCCAACATCTATCCAGACATAAACATCATCACTGGGGCTCTGAAACTCTATTTCAGAGACTTACCCATCCCTGTCATCACTTATGATACCTATTCCAAATTTATAGAAGCAGCAAGTAAGTATGGAAGACTAATTTTTCATTTGCACTAAACATTTAAGTACAATGTTTTTTACCTTAAAATTAAAACTCAGAAGATTTTATTGCATGAGTGCTTGTTTTGCCAAATCAGAGGACAGCAGTACAGTCATTAGAGAGCCAGCAGAGTGCACCAGCTGAGCTGGACCAGTGCTAAGCCAACTCCGAGCGCAAAAGCTGGGTACCAGGCAGTTCTGACTTTCTTCCTTCCTCCTGAAATGAAGAGAACCAGCTCAGCCAGGCCTGGTCAGTTAGTTATTAAAAGTGTGAATATTTTATATGTTCCCCAAGGAGAGCTATGTAGATCAACTACTTTCATCCTTTAAGCAGAATCACATAGTAGATTCATTGAGGTTCATCCAAGTCTTGCCAGTGATGTTGTTCAAAATTAATAGAAGGCCAAGGATATTCTGTAGCAAGTTCTATGCTAGGACCTCTCACCAGTGTCTTCTAATTTACTCTTCTCATCTGTCCTATGAGGCAAATGTTCTATCATATTTTACAGAGGAAAAAGCCAGATGTTGAGAGCTGATCTCATACGTCCAGGAATGGACCATTAGCCTCAGTTGCTCATTCAGGGTTCACCAAGCAGGCTCACTGCTGTAAGCAGAGTGTGACAGGCAGAATGTCATGGGAAGGGGCTACGCTTCACCCAGGAACAGATGACAAGAAAGGAGAGATTCAGATGCTGAGATGTATGACAGAGAAGTCAAGTTCACTTTGAGAAACTTTTTTTTTTAATTTTAGGGGTTTTTAAAAACCTTTAAGGCCAAGGATTTAGCTCAGTAGTGCTACTGCTGGCCTCACAAGCGCAAGGACTCAAGTTCGATCCCTGCTACAAAACAAAACAAAACCCTTTAAAGGTTAAAAAGTATAAGTGTGTGCTGTTGGATACAATAATAAGGTGCCTGACAGGAGGAAACAAGGGTGGGTTGGGATTTGTACATGGCATATTTTCCAGATGAGCTATGACCCTGCTCTCTGATGAGAACATTCCTTCCTGGGTTCTGGTAGCCCTAGATGAACAAGATTCCAACAGCATGGTACCTTCCAACCCAGAATAAATAGCTGGAGGGTTTTCTCTGATTATATACCAGTACCTATCAGAGACCCCAAATCCAGAAGCACCCACTCTTCCTCCAATTGTTAACATGCCCGGTACCTATTTCCTAACCTGGACTGAACACCAGGGCTAAGCCTGCCAGTACTTTAGTAACAATTGCCTTCAATGAAGGCTGAGTTAGCCAGCCTGTCTGCCATCATCCTTGCATTGCAAAATGCATTCAGTTATGGAAGCCTGCCAGGGAAAGACTTATTTGACAGAATTAGGGGCACACTCCCTAAAGTGATAGAATTAAAATTAGAGTTTACGAAAGTGGGACCTCCAGCAAATCCAATGTTCAGAAGACATAAAAAGCACATGCACAGACTGCATGTTTCTTCACACTGTAAGCATTCTACTGGGATACCAGTTCCGGGAGGGCAGGGACAATGTTCAGCCTCCAGCCACCCATAACATTGAAACACAATAAGTATGTGATACTTAGCCTCAGACTCTTTCTGGAATGAGGCAAGATGCAACATTAATTTCTGTGAAATAGTACCTGAAATTGCATGAATGTATTAGATTACCTTCCTCATCTGTGGTCAAGACAGAGACATTGTTACTTCTCTGGATGCTCTAATGTCACAGCTCTGTGCTAATACTTGTTCTATGTGATCTTTACAGAAATCTCCAATGCAGATGAGAGGCTGGAAGCAGTCCATGAAGTGCTGATGTTGCTGCCTCCTGCTCACTATGAGACCCTGCGCTACCTAATGATCCACCTCAAAAAGTAAGCAACACCTCCCTTACTCATCTGCCCCTCATCTGCCCCTGGGGCAGTTAACACATGAAGAAAAGTTGACTACAAAGTGGACAGATACTCTGTTTATAGTGGACTGTGCTACCTTCCTAGACCTGCCCCAGTCATAGCTGCTAGAATTCATGCTCCATGCTGAGATGCTTCATGGGCTTTCCACAGGGTGTGGGTACTCTTATGGGCCAGGACCGAAGGAAGTTGAATGTCTAATCCAAAGAAATGAATCTAAGTAGGTGGATCCAGAATCCACACTCTGTCTTTACTGCTTATACTCCATACCTGAACATCCCAGTGATGTTCTGATCTTCTTGCTATTCACCCGGGTCTCAGACTCCTGAGCCTGTGATCACTGATTTTCCTGATGTGTGAGTTCTCTGCCTCCAAGGAACAAATTGCTCCCAAGCTTTGTATCTTAAAACAATAAAAATGTATTATCTCCCTCATCTGTAGGCCTAGGATCAAGCTGTGGCTTAGCTAGGGACCTCTGGTTCAAGGTCCCTCATGGAATCGGCCAGCCTGCCGTCTCATCCGAAGCCTTCATGGAAGGGAATCTCTACTTCCAAGTTCACTCACTGGTTGTTCCAGGGTTCAGTCCTTGAATGCTATTGACCTGAAGGCCAGCTTCCTCTTTGACTTATGCTGGGGGCTCTCCACAGGCAGTACACAGAATGGCTTCTGGCTTCCCTCAGAGCAAGCAAGCAGGAGGATCAGGAGGAAAGGCTGTATTTTTAGGAAATGGCATCCTATGGCTATTCCTGTGTTTTATGTGTTAAAAGGCAGTTTCTGGGTCTGGCCCTTACTTACAGGAGTCCGGGGCCCTCTGAGAGGCCTTCTACCATACTAAGTTACCTAGGATAGAGCACAAGAAGCAGAGACAGAAAATTTTAAATGTTTACAACACACTAGAACTCCTGACTCCAGACTCCTCTCTAAACCCTGGATCCCTTTTCTTTCCTGTACATTTTAATGAGCTTGATGAGTTGGTCTTTGAATGTTGGAGGGATCAATGTACATCTGTGTGTCTCTATATTTCTGAAATATACATGACAGCACCCCATTCCTGGATAAAGTGAACCAAAAGTTGTCTATATTGAACAAATTACAGATCTACTCAGCAAGTGCAGAACCAAGTTGAGAATACTGTACAAATGCTAAGTATTTTGGATTTTGTTTTTCTGCCTTATTATGACTGTTGCTTCGACCAGAGTGATCAGAGAGGGTAACAATATAGTTCAAAAGAATACCATTTTGATTAATCTATTTAATGTAAGAATAGAGTACAAGTAATTTTTGGATAGGTAATTGACTATGAATATCACCCTAAGCTGTTAATTAACTGTAAATTATTTCTTTTGTGACGCCTGTCCACTTGTTACAATTTGGGAGGCAAAGGACCAGTATCACGAAAAATGCTGGACTCTCACAGATAAATTGTAAATGCCAATAGTTTCGTATTGTTATTGTGATGAATTTGTTTGTTTGGTCAGATGTGGTGTCTGACTTCACAGGAAAAGGTAAACATTTCAACAGTCAAGAATCTCCTCTTTTCTACCTTCCTCTTAGCTTTACAGCATGAAAATGATTCAAACTGAGTTGACCTTCCTAAAATAATACTAAGTGGCAAATCCTTATTAGTGCTAAAGGAATAAACAATTGGCCTTCAGTGCAAAACCTACACACATTTTAATTGTCTTTATCTCTTTGGAGAACCTGTTCCTTCTTAGATCTATTATGAGTATTCTAAAATCTATGTTTCTGAAATCAGGAATCTAAGAGATAACAATTTCATTTTATTGGAAAAGTAGTAAGCCAACTTTGGGGGTTTGGATATTATTCTTAAAGTCTCTTCAGTTTTTGTCTAGAGATTAAAAAGACGATTTTGAATTCCAACAATACAGACCTCATCCTAAGGGAACTAGAAATAATATCTAACTGCTTTCCTGTCTGGCTACATTCCAGCCATTCCCCTGGCCCCTGATAACTGCCTGGCTCTTCCTAAATGCACCACATGACAACCCATTCTATAAGTAACCTTTCTCCTCTGCTGCCAGCCCTGCCAGCAGAAGGGAGCCTGCTCTTAGTCCCACTTTCCAGCTTACAGACTAATGGGAAACAATGGGAAAAGAAACTTCTGTATAAAAGCCATGATGGTACCATGGGCCAGTTAACAATCTTCTGTTCCTTCAAACCAGTATCCCTTAAATGATAGGTCTGTGTTTAGTAAGTGTCTAGTAAGGAGGACCGATTTTCTAATTTTTAAAATTGTGTGCATACTCAACTTACATAACACATTCATTTCCATTGGCTGGTGGCAATTCATCAACTTAAAAAGAAAACCAAATCAGAAAATTACCTTTTTAAAAAACGCCTTTCTGCTATTCTGATTCTCAGTTTGCTTTTGTAATTTTCCTGAACCAGGAAACCAGGATGGTGTTGGGTCTTACTCAGTATGTAAATTCATCCGTAAGTCTACACAATGTCTCTGTCTATCTATATCTGTTTTTCAGAGTTACTATGAATGAAAAGGACAATTTTATGAACGCAGAAAATCTGGGGATCGTGTTTGGGCCCACCCTGATGAGGCCTGCTGAGGACAGCACCCTTACAACCCTCCATGATATGCGGTACCAAAAGCTGATTGTGCAGATTTTGATAGAAAACGAAGATGTTTTGTTCTAGTCCAACAAGGAAATGGGCTGAATGGCCCAGCCCCATTCTAGTTGACAGATCTAAAGGAATAAAAACATGTCTTACACTTGATTTGTTTTTCAAACAAGTGACAGAGTTTGCTGGACCACAGTGGATCGCTGAGTTGGGAACTGTGTCTCATAGACATGCCCTCCTCTACTCGAGAACAGGGTGAGGGCAAGCAAGCCCCAGCCTTGGGTCTTTTGCTGTGCCTCATATGTGTGTCTGTTTTGCTGGAAGAGTGATTAATAAATCTTTCTTTAACTTATTAAAAAACAGTGTAGACCTTTAAGCTTCAATCTTATCAGTAATAAAAGGGAACTTAATTCCTAAAGGTACTTGATATAGTTATACATTTTCCACTCACAGAAAGAAGACAATTCTATACGTTAAATGTTAAATGAAACCTATATTGTAAAATGTATTTTTATTTCTCCTGCAAGAATGTTATTTTATTTTAGCAAATAGAACTCAATGCAGTGCATTGACTATTATCCTGTGTACCTTGTTCTGCGTTCTTGCTGTGATGCCCTGAAAGTTTGACCACAAATGCAGTATTATCCTGACATACCTCTATCCTTATTAGTCCTTTTCAATGAAATTTCACCTGCCACATGTGTCCCTGCTTTTGATGGTTTTTGCTCTTAAGCACTAGCATTCTGCTGTCATGTAGTATAGGTTTATAGCAGTTATAGAATGGTCTGAAATATCCACAAATCGTCTTTCCATACAAATTTTGTGAATTCCCAACATATGTCATGAAATTGGTGACTGCCTTCCCAGATAATGAGTGTGTAACCTAGAATGTGCAGAATGTGGTCATTTTATGTAAAATAATTTAAGGACATTGGATGTATCTGGGCCATGAAAAAAAAAGTTAGCATTTTTTCCTCTTTTCAGCTAAGCACTCCAAATTCATATGTTAATTACAAGTTGAATTTTTGCCACATTTGTGTATTGACGAAAAGCAGCCCTGCAGAATAATTTTTGATGTTTTTCATTTTTGTTTTATAAACAAACCTATTTTTAAAAAGTAAAGAATGAATAAGGTTGGTTTTTGCTAAATATTTGTTCATCCTTGAAAAAAAGTAGTTCTGTATGAAAAATAATTTCATATGATTTTATTGCTATAGGTTCATCCTGTTGGTTATATTTATCTCCGCATGAGCCTTTCACACCAAGATTTCTATATTTTGTAACATAGGTAAAATATTTAAAACATCAAAAACTGTAAATCTAGATTTTTTAAAAATCCAACTTCTATGTCTTTCCCTGATTGTCTGAGATGAGTCATGTAACTACTCACAAGTCTTGTTTTGGACTGACCGGAAGAGATGTGCCGTATGTGGTGTGGTGTGAGAGGAGGTGCACAGTGCAGCTGTTGTCCTGGGAAGTCCCCAGGGCCCTGCAGATGAACACCATTGTCAACTGGGGGTCAGAACCGTTCAGTCTGCTCCCTACTATTAGCCTTCCTCCCAGCTGTACAAACTCATTTGTTGTAGCTTATGTACTTCTTGATACTGTCAAAAAAATTATCTGGAAATGGTTTTATTTTGTGAAGTGAACAATACTTTGTAATTTATGATAGTGTAAATGGAAGCAAAAGCATTACATGTATTAAATTCTTCTGTCTATCATTTTGGAGTATGTTCAGAGAAGTGATGTCTTCCGGTAGCATGGGGAGAATCTTTAAAATCTTCTCGGGGAGATTTGGCAATAGGATTTCTATTATTGTCAAGCATACAAGAAAGTAGAAGCAGCCCATAGTACCCCCATCTTGCTGTCCCTCGCCTCCACCACCTTCTTTCTAGAGAGCCCGCTTTGAGGTTATAAGATTCTGATGATCAGCTTCACCTTTGGAAGACCAGTTGCACTTGGAGAGGTAAAGAGTTTAGAGAGAATCAACGTTGGCTGCTTAGAGAAGCAGAACAAGGATTCTGGAGTCAGAAATTCCCAAGCTGGAACTCTGGACCTGCCTGTTACTAGCTGCTGATGATCCTGGGAATGGGTTGCCTTATTTGAAAAAGCATAGATAACATTTTAAATGAAATCATGATATAAAGCAATCAGTATTAGTTGTTTCCCACTTTTTCAAGAGTGATTATTTAGAAGGGAAAAGGATATAACATGAGGATGGTGATAAAAGAAGCATGAGAAGACAAGGATTTGTCTCTGGTTAAATCCAAGTCCATAGCATATGAGGGAATGTTATAACAAGGCTCTATAATGTGAAGTGAAGTTCACTTGACTCCTTTTCTGGAACGTGATTGCAACACTTGATCCCTCTGCCTTGCTTTAGTGTGAAACCTGCTCACCCATGCCTATCTCCCACCATCTGGCAGCCTGACATGGCTCCTCTTACCTGGCTTGCCAGCCCTGTCACTGGAGTCACTCCGATAGACCATAAAAGACCCAGCCGAGTTCCCAAGAACCCACAATTAGATGGTCCACAAGTGAGTTGTGGCCAGTGGGACAGGGCCATGATGGGTGGGAGAAGGAGAGGATGCAGCTTTTCTTTCTCCATTCACTTAAATCAACATTTCAGAGGGAGGGGGATGTGAATCTAAGAAGGAATTGTGGAGAGAGCATTGGGAAGAAACACACCATACACTTGAATGATTACTGGATTGTCCCGACTACTGAAAACCCAAATCAGGTGGCTTATACATTCCCATGCTCCAAAACAAGCCCCAGTTTATAGCCAGTCTTTCATTTAAAAATGTAACAGTCGTTAGTTTTCCACGGATACTTGTCCATCAATATTAATAGGCCAGACACTAAATACTTCGAGGCAAGGAACATGCTTATCTCATGGGAATAATTAAATAATAAGTTTAGTCTGGCGGGAAAGAGGAAACTGTGTTAAGGGGAATGTGGGCTACTAATATTTTCCGTTCTAATAGACATTTAATTATGGAATGCTTTTATATTTGCAGAAAAGTTGTAGAGAAACTGCAGAATTCCTACATTCCCCTTAGCCACTTTCCCCTAATGCTAACATCTTACATAACCACAGGATAGCTGGCAGATCTAAAAAACAAGCATTGAAACCTTACTCTATTCAATTCTAACTTTACTGAGATTCCATAGGTGTTTCTCCTGCTGGCTTTTTTGGCCCTAATGGATGTCAGGAGACAGATCACACTATCTGATTGACACTTTTAAAAGATGACTTACCTGATTATGGGTCCAGCAAAGAAGATGTGAGCAGATGGGAGTAGTGAGAAGAAATGCAGCGAGCCACTGTTGTGAGCCTGAGATGATGGTATCCTGGGTAGAGTAGGAGCAAGGAAGAAATAGACAGAACTGGATTATATTTAGGAAATACGGCTGCAAAGTCTGGTTTAGAGATTGGATTAAGAAATCCAGGCTGGGTCCCAGATGGCTTAATTTGGCAACTGTGCAATAATTACTGAAATGAAGAATATATACAGGACATCTGGTTATTGGGGAGGGAATGAAGTGGAAAAGGTGGGACATGATGAAATGAAGATACTTGTGAAATTTCCAGGCAGAGGTCTTTCGTGAGAAATTCCCTGGAGAGAATTGGGCTAGACATGGATTTGGAAGTGAATTACTAGAGATAATAATGGAAAACATAGTATTATATAAGGATACTCAGGAAGACCGAAGGGAGAAATACAGGGGAGGCCACACTCAGAGTTCTCTGGAGCACTGACACTCAGGCGAGAGAAAGAGGAAGAAGAAAAGGCAATGTGGCCCCCTTGAATATAATAAAATATAGAAAATATCACAAGTGCAGTTCAGAAAGAGTCTCTCCAGGTTTGCTTCACAATATTGTTACATTTAATTATTCTACTTAGATTTATTTTGCTACATTCAAGGCATCGCATTGGACCTTGTACTTTGGAGAGGTGTGATTGGTTAAATGCTTTAAAAATGCAAATAAGCCAGTGCTATGTCTGAGTGCCTGTGTCCCCCTGAAGTTCTTTGTTGAAACCTAATCCCCAGTGTAATGTCATTTGGAGCTGGGACTGTGGAGGAGGTGATTCAGTATAGCTGAAATTATACCTGACCTGAAGATGGATCTCCCTTTTTCAAGGTCGTTGGATACCTTAAAACAATCAGGACTGTTTAGAGGGCAAAGAAGAGAGCAGCAGCTTTGCAGCTTTGTGGATGTTGTTCAGATTTCCAGAGGCTGCATAAAATATTTTATACCCATCCAACCTTCACTCAATGTCTCAGGTCTTCATAGCCCCCCCCATAACTCTAGAGCCAACTATAATGTAATATTGTCTAATCGATGATCCTCATGAAGTACCTGGCAGCCAAGGTCCCTGCTGAACACACCTCTGACTCTGCCATTCAACTCTTCAAAATCTTGATCTCTGCTATACTTGCACCACATTGAAAGAATTTTAAAATTCAGAGAAAATTTAAGGCCTTCATCTGACTCTGATCAGATGTGCTTCCCCAGCTCCTACCTGACACTGTACCTGGCACACAATAGGCACCCCAAGCTTTTCTAAATTAATAACATATTTTTGTACAAATAATATCCCATTTTGATGAAATGAAAGAGATGAATTCTGGACAGGAGAATCTGGAAATGCATGTTTAGTCATTTAGAGCTGTGCTTCACATCAACCCTTCAATTTTTTTAAAGGCTTGTCCTTAAATGGGGGCTTTTCCTTTGGAAGTAAACCCCCTTAAATTAGGTAACCTTCACCATATTCTTTCTTCTTTTATCCAGTTGGAATGGTTAACCCTTAGAACAACTCAGCTTAGAGAACCTGAAGATTAGTAGCAGGATACACAGATAATGGTAGCTTCGTTGGTCTAGAATCAAGAGCAGTGCAGAGAGGAGGTCAGGTGCTGGGTCTAGACATCATCCTGCTTACATCCGGCTCTATCCCTTTCTCCCAGTATGGCTTTTGGAAAGTTACATTAATTTTTAAGCCTTACATTCCTTGTCATTTAAATAAACTAATGGCAGTTCTGATTCTGCGGAGTTATTGTGATGGTTAAGACAATCTAGGGATGACGGCAGAGTTTCATTATAAGAGTTTAGGGTACAGAGTAAACAAGCAAATGCTTTTCTAAAAAAAAAAATCAACAGCTTGGAGAAGCATTTATGAGAACACGTTAGCCATAATTATCCTTTATTTCAATCTGTAAGTCACCTCATTTATTTCTCTCTAACAAATGAGAAAGTGAGAGGGATTTTAGCCGTTTGCCTTGCTGGCCAATTAAAAGTCAAGGCACACTTGACTCATGCAGAGGTATGTGGTGGAAAGACAGCATGGGGCCTAGAGCCATGAGACCTGGTTCCTTTACAGATGAGGCTTTTAAGTCTGAGGTTCAAATTTCTCCCTTTGGAAACGAAGAGTAATGGCTGCCTGCCTGCTCAACTCATCAGCCGCATGGGGTTGTCACTAAGGCAGGTGGCACGGGAGCAGGTGTGGAGCACTGTTAAGCACTCTGACACTCAGCACCACTCTCTCCCCATCTCCCTTAATATTGCACAAGACCGTGGGGGGTCTGTATACCTCCACAATTGCTCTTCCCCTGTTTGCTCCTGGTCAGTCACATCCACTCTGGCTTGGAACACTGTCAACAAATCTGAATTATCCCCAAGATCCAGTAAGCTACCTGTTGTCCTATAACAAGTCCCTGCTGTACAAATCATGATCTATTACCAGCAGCCACGGTCTCTGATGAAAACACCTCTGACTCTGCCATTTGACTCTTCAGAATCTTTATGTCTGTTATACTTGCCTCACACTGAAAGAATTTTAAAATTCAGAATAAATCGAAGGCCTTCATCTCATTCTTTTTTCCTGCTTCCCATTCCCCGGCACATTTCATACTACTCCTAAATATGTTCAGAGTATACCATGTTCTATAGAAATGGCACCATGTCCCAAGTCTACGTTATTCTATAGTTGACTTTTTCTCCTCTAAATGATGTATTGGAAATGTATCCCTGTTCATTCATATAGACCTACTTCATTTTAACTGTCCCAAACTGCTTCATTATGTAACTTATCCTTTCTTCTAGTGATACATGTTAAGTCATTTCCTGCTTTTCTATTGATAATCACTGTTTTCATGAACATTATCTTAAAGTCTACATGTACTACAAATGGAACCGCTGGATCCCGGAGAATGTAGACCCTCAGTCTTGTTATCGTTAGCTCTCCAAGGTATGAGTAGCAGTTCATCTTCTCACCAGCAGTGTTTGAGAGTTCCTGTTACTCCCAAATCCTTATCAATACTTAGCATTACCAGACTGAAATGTTTTTTGCTAATCTCTTGGGTTAAAGTGTTATATTTTGTTGTAATTTGGATTTCCTTAATTACCATCTTTTATGGTTTAACTCTCATTTAATTGTTTTTGTTGTTTTGTTTGTTTGTTTGTACCGTGGATCCAACTCGGGTCCTTTTGCTTGCGAGGCAGGCAGCAGAACCACTGAGCTAAATCCCCAGCCCTTTAATTGATTTTTCTATCAATTGTTCATTCATAAATTTACCATTTCTCTATATCTACCAATATGTCAGAATTCTTTATAAATTCAATGCTACTTCTTTAAATTCATTTGTATTGTCTTATCTTCTTTCAGTAGAGTCAGTCTTTTCTTTTATAGTTTGTGCTTTAGGTACCTTACTTATAAAATTCATCCTAACACCCAAATCATAAAGATATTATTTATTTTTATAAAACTATCCAAGTTACACTTTTTGTATTTATGTATGGAATTATGATGCAAGGTCATAGTGTCAATTATTGAATAGAGCTATGAAGAATTGTCACTGAAACGTGACTAGTCCAAATCCAGATGAATTTTTAAATGTGTAAAAATATATCCTGGATTTCTAAGACTCAGTACCAATTAATGTAAAATATGTCTATAATTTTATAATGATTGCATGGTGAAATAATATTTTAGATATTTGGTATTAAAATATATTGGTTTTTTGTTTTGTTTTGTTTTGGTATCGGGGATCAAACTTGAGTCCTTGTGCTTGCGAGGCAGGAGGTGGAACCATTGAGCTAAATCCCCAGCTCTGTTAAAATATATGTTAAAATGTGTTTCACTTGTTTCCTTTTACTCTTTAAAATCTGGGTACTAAAAAATTTTAAATGGCAAATGTGAGTCACATTCTATTTCTATTGGACAGCTCTATAATAAATGTATCATTTTTCTCCAAAGAAAGCAGAATCTATTTGTCATAGATGGAATTTTCATCATTGCCTAGGCCTGTCTTTGGACTCTGATGTGCAAGTCATTTATCTGCCTCTGCATCAGAACCAAACAGTCTTAAATGTTGTGGCTTTATAATGTCTTGAAATCATATTTCTGCTCTTGTTCCTTTGCTTCTAATTTTTCTTTGTTCTTAACTGGTTGCTCTCTCTCTTAGGTACTCGAAAACCACCTAGTCTAGTCTTCCCATTCCCTCACTCAAAAAAATCTATTAGAATTTTAGGGCATTTTATTCCCATTTGGAGAGAGAATAAACATCTGCCTTCAAACAACTATTGTAGTGTTCTCATTTTATTTGGGTCTTATTTTGTTTTCATCAATAGCATAATTTCCTACACTTATAGTTTCTCTCTCTCTTAAAATATTTATTTCTATATTATCTTTATAATTTTAAATAGATTAGATACTTCCAATACACTTTTTAACAGATTATTACAGA